ACCCAATGAAATAACAGCGTAAAATGAGAAAACAAAGATTGAAGAAAGCCATCTGAAATATACATAGAATCATCTGGCTGGCTCAGTTGTTGAGTGTCAACCTATAAACCAGGAGGTCATGGTTCAATTCCCAGTCAGGGTACATGCTTGGGTTGTGGGCTCGATCTCCAGTAGGGTCTCTCATTGTGTTATTTCTTTCTCTCTTTTCCTTCCTCTCTCTGAAATCAATCAATCAATCAATATATTTGTACCATCATATATATATATGTATATGTATATATGTATGTATGTGTGTATACACACACACACACACATATATAACCATAAAGACATATAAAAGGTATGAAAACATTTTAAACTACAAATGAAGAAGGATGTTAAAAATGTGCACTAGAGTTGAAGCTGTGGCCTCGTGTAGCAGATGAACCTTGTTGAACCCTGCCCGATCTCTTGATATTGCTTAAACCTTTGTGCTTGTCCAAGGAGCCTATTACTTTAAAACTAGAGGCCCGCTGCACAAAATTCATACACGGGTGGGGGGGGTCCCTCAGCCTGGCCTACACCCTCTCCAATCCCTGTGGGATCGGGCCTAAACTGACAGTCAGACATTCCTCTCGCAATCCAGGACCAGTGGCTCCTAACCACTCACCTGCCTGCCTGCCTAATGACACCAACTGCCCTCCCCTGCAGGCCTGGTCGCCCCCAGCTGCCCTCCCGTATAGGCCTGGTCACCCCCAACTGCCCTCTCCTGCCAGCCTGATCTCCACCATAACTGCTTTCCCCTGCCGGCCTGATTGCCTCTAACTTCCTTTGCCTTGGCCCCTACCACCGTGGCTTTGTCCAGAAGGTAGTCAGACCTCTGGAAGATGGCCAGTCAACCTGGTCTAATTAGCATATTACCCTTTTATTAGTATAGATAGAAGATAGCTCCCAGTAGTCAAGTATATGCCAGTACTTGTCAATGTCCCAAATGGGAGGATGTAAGCACCTAGGTACAGGATGATTGGCAGCCATGCTCTCAAGAAGCAGCTTTTAAAAGTATGCAAATATGTATACAGTCTGTGGGACCCTGCTACCCACCAGAGACAGGTGATTTGGAGGTGTCCACTGGTGGCAATTGCAAAAATAAGGGCTCTAGATGCATATAAATGCTTTTTTTCTGGAGCAAGGCAGAGGGAGAACACCAAAAGATGTCCAGAGCCTATAATCCTTGAGAACAGCTATTTAGGACACTAGTCTTGTGCCAAGCATAAGGCCTGCCCCTCAGGTCACAGCTCCAAGTCAAGCAAAGAGGTCCTGCCTGGTCAGCAAAGCTGCTGGCTGTCCTATTTCCTTCAGACTCGGTTTTCTACTTTTAGCTGACAAAGCCATAAGTTCCCTAACAGCAGACCCAAATCCAATTCAACTATCTGGCAGCAAAGATACTTGGTTTTCCTGCCTAGCCCCAGGATGGTGAAACTGTGCTGGGGATAAAAATAGGAGTAGAAATATGAGTTGGACAGTTCTCTTAAGCACATTCATTCTATATAACAAAAGGCTAATTTGCAAATTGGCCAAACGACAGGTCACTATGACGTGCACTGACCATCAGGGGGCAAATGCTCAACGCAGGAGCTGCCCCCGGGTGGTCAGTGCACTCCCACAGGGGAAGTGCTGCTCAACCAGAAGCTGGGCTCATGGCTGGCGAGTGCAGCAGTGGTGGCGGGAGCCTCTCCTGCCTCCACTGCAGGCGGGCAGTAAGGAGCAAGGGGTCCCAGACTGTGAGAGGATGCAGGCTGAGCTGAGGAACCCCTTACCCCCCTAGTGCATGAATGTGGTGCACTGGGCCTCTAGTAGCTAATAAATATACTAAAAGAGTAATGATTCTCAGACTTACCAGTGAGAAACATGTGAAAGGGTCTTACGCAATACTTCTGCCAGTGACTCTGCACCATGACCAATTTCAAAACAATAAACCAAGAGAAGTGTTTGCAATGCATATAACACATAAAGAGTTCATCTCCCTAGTATATAAAGAATTCCTAAAAACTATAAAGAAAAAGTAGACTATAAAACACACAGAAAAAGAACCTGACTCATAATTAGACAACTATAAATTAAAACTAAATTAAGACACAATTTTTTAGCCTATCAGACAAGCAACAATCCAAAAGATTGGTGACAGTATAAGCACAGGCACTCTCATACATTTCTAGTGGGAACATAAATTTAAAGTTGTTTTAATAATTTCCCTTTTCACTTTTTATGGTGAAATTTCTGGCAAAATAGGAAGAAATGATAATGTATAGCTAATTTTATATAAAAATGCCGACAGAATATTTGATGTCCATGAAAACCATCCTATCTAATAAAGAGGGAATATGCTAATTGACCCTCACACCATTGCAAAGATGGCGGCACCCACAACCAATAAGGAGGGAATATGCTAATTGACTGCCATGCCCTCGAAGATGGCGGAGCCCACAACCAATAAGGAGGGAATATGCTAATTGATTGCCACACCCTCAAATATGGCGGTGCCCACAGACACAAGATGGTAGCGCCCAGTCTCCCTCCAGACACCCAGGGCCAGCCCGAGGGACGAACAAATGACTGAACAGCAGGCTGTGTGGGGCGACCAGGCTGGCGGGGGGGCCATGAGGGGCGGCCAGGCCGGCTGGGGGGGTGTGGTTGGGGGCAACCAGGACAGCAGGGGGTCAGTGAGGGGTGACTAGGCCGGCAGGGTTAGGGCAATTAGGAGCAACCTGGTCGACAGGGAGGGGGGCGGTGGGGGCAACCTGGCCAGCAGCGGGGGCCAGCTAGGGGTGACCAGGCCGGCACACAGAGGCAGTAAGAGGCGATCAGGCCAGTGGCGGGGGAGGGGGAGTGGCAATGAGGGGCGACCAGGCAGGCAGGCCGGTGAGCGACTAGGAGCCAGTGGTCCAGGATTGTGAGAGGGATGTTCGAATGCTGGTCTAGACCAGTAGTTGGACATCCCCTGAGAGGTCCTGGATTGGAGAGGGTGCAGGCTGGGCTGAGGGGCCCCCCCCCCCCCGCATGAATTTAGTGCACCGGGCCTCTAGTTTATATATAGTTCCTGACAACTAAGAATGATTTCAGAAACATTCATAAAAAGGTATTGAGATGAACAAGCAATTTATAAGAAAATAACTACAAAGGGAAGAAAAATCTTAACCTCATTTGTAATCATTGAAATACAAAAAGAACCCATACCATTTTTCACCAACCGTATCATCAAAGATTCTTTTAAATTGTCAATCCCTACAGTCAACAAAATTGCAGACATTACTGGTAAGACTTTTCTGCAGGACAATTTTACAATTCGTATCAACAAAAATTCTTTCTCAGAGTCATCCTAGAAATTTATCTTGGGAAAAATGTTACAACTGTGGGGAAAACATTGTTAGCTATAAACATAGTATATGTTGGGATATATTTATACACGAAGAACTATGAAACCACTAAGAGTGTATTGGCAGGGTAAATATGTAAGATATGCTATATATTTAAAAAATCAAAGGGTATGTATGCCTGAAAGGACCTCACTTTTAAGTAGAGATTGAGAGATGTTAGGTCAAAGAGGATGGTAAGTCAAAGAAAACTTTTATAAGACTCTAGTTAATTTAATACTAATAAAATACTTAAGTAATTTTAAAAACCTGAATAAAGAAGAAAAAGTTCTTTAATACCTGTGTAGGAGTTATTACCTTCCTAAGTGTAACTCACAAAATAATCTTATATAAGAAAAGGCTAATATGCAAATAGACCGAATGGCAGAATGACCAGTCGCTATGATGCACACTAACCACTGGGAGCATACACTCAATGCAGGAGCTGTCCGGGGCACGTGGAACATGGTGGGTGTCAGCAGCAGGTGGCAGAGTGTAGAAAATGGCAGGCGTTGGCTGCGGTGGGATGGTAGAGCAGGTGAGCGAGGGCAGCAGACCAAGGCGGGGAGCCGGTTGCTGTCATTGGGGAGGTTACTGAATTCTTTGTTCCTGCATGCCAAGGTCCCACCCAGCACTCACACCCACTGCTGGCAGTGGCCCCAATCCCTCCGCGCCATCAGCAGATGTGAGTGGGGCTAGTGCCATCAGTGCATGGGACCAGTGGCGGCAGGAGTGGGGCTGCAGGCAGACAGGGGACTAGGGGCTGCGAAAGGGGCAACGAGGATAGGCCGAGACCCGCCCCTGTGCTCACCACAGCCTTGCAGCCGACAGTTCCTTTCAAGGTGCATGAATTTGTGCACTGGGCCCCCAGTTCATATATAAAAGCAAACTAAATAAAAGGTAAAAAAATTTGTTTTCATTCCAGTTACTCCTTCAAATGATATAGTTGTGGGATGGAGATATGGAGAATGCTGGTGAGCAGACTGCATTGGTTAGCACTTACAAGACATTTTGTACCAACACTGTTTATTCTTCAGCAACTCTATGAGATGGGGTAGTAATAATCTCATCTTAACCATGAGAAAATTATTAGATTGGCTAGATAGCTTACTTTACACTTTAAGTAACCAGAAAGTAACTGAACACAAATTTATCTGGCTCCAAACTCTATACTCTTTCCACAGAATCATGCTAAACCTCCTGATATTATAGAGCCATTTTAAGCCCTTAAATATCTGGTGCTACTCTTAATTAACAGATGAGGATCAAGAAGAAAAATAGTTTAGACTAGAAAAATGAACTGTCCATGCTTACACTTAGATAATTAGAAGAAAAAGATGTCCCAATATTCATTTCAGTGCTATTTCCAGTATTCTAGTTTTTCCTTCTCTTCAAAAAGGAAAAAAAATAAGATAGTTGAATATCCACTACATTACAGATGCTCAAGACTTCCTATTTTTATTACTGTAGAAAAGCTTGCAGAAAGAGAGAGAACAACCAAAATAAGATCTAGAGCAGGGGTAGGAAAACTTTTTGACTCGAGGGCCAGAATGGGTTCTTAAACTGGATCGGAGGGCCAGAACAAAAGCATGGGCGGAGCGTTTGTGTGAACTAATATAAATTCAAAGTAAACATCATTACATAAAAGGGTATGGTCTCTTTTTTTTTTTAGTTTTACTCATTTCAAACGGGCTGGATCCGGCCTGTGGGCCGTAGTTTGCCCACAGCTGATCTAGAGAATATAAAACAAGCGATTTACACCAATGACCAATTAAATAAAGGATTCTTCCATGTAATTTTTTATTTTAACAAAATATTTGCATGTCAGAATTAATGTTCTATATGCACATCATAGACACATCCACAGCTACAGAAATTATAAAGTATTCAAATATTTAGAAAACATAATCATGTCAAACAACCATCTTTTCACCATCCTTGTGTATCCATCCCCGCCACTATCATCAAATCTTTTCCCCTACCAGAAGTTATCTGTATCCTAAATTTGTTACACCAATGAATTTCTTTACATGCTTATTTTTCTGTGAATCCTACACTGTAGAGAAGGAAGTTCACAGATATGTTATAAAGTATATGCACATGCACGTCACTAAAAATGGCAAAGTGGGGAATTCTAAAATTCCATCCTTCCACAAAAGCAATGAATAAGCTGACAGTAACTATCAGAATCATTTTTTTGGAACTCTGGAATTAAGTCAACAGTTACAATCTGGGTATTGCTTAATGAAGAATGCAGCTTCAGAATTTTAGGGGAAAACTGACATTTTAACATACTCACTTACCATGCCGCGCTCCCGAATTCGGCAGCAGTCATGAAGACATCAGCCTGGTGCAGGCTGCGGGTACCAGAGTGAACTACATATTAGACCTATTCGTAAAGAACTGTGTGGTTGTGTGCTTTGTCCAGTTTGGTAAGTCCCTAAAGATTCAGTTCAAGGTCTTAGCTTTGTTTCACCTTCCCTGGAGCTTCCCCAGGGGAGAATCATTTCTGGACAGCAGTATTTGTCAAAAGTATTTAAAGGTAAACGTATTAGCACAAACAGTAAGAGTTGGAACTAGCAATAGCCAAACAGGAAAGCCTGGAAAGAAAGAAGCTGAGAATATATTTGGGGAAAAGGGGATTTGAAAAGTTCCCATACTAGAAAAACTAGAAGGCTATGTGTATACCTGGGACCTAATACATGCTTGAAAAATATGTGAGAAGACCCTAAACCATCAACTTGGCTGACTATTAAAATGCCAAGCTAGCAGAAAATGAAGCCTAAGCTGTCAGTCAGACATCCTTAGCGCTGCTGCGGAGGTGGGAGAGGCTCCTGCCACTGCTGCTGTGCTCGCCATCATGAGCCCGGCTTCTGGCTAAGCAGTGCTCCCCCTGTGGGAGTGCACTGACCACCAGGGGGAAGCTCCTGCATTGAGCATCTGCCCCCTGGTGGTCAAGGCACATCATAGCGACCAGTTGTCTTTCAGTTTGGTCGATTTGCATATTAGGCTTTAATTATATAGCACTAG